GGGGGGGAAAGGGTGGGGGGGCGATTCCCAAAAAATCTTGTGCTGACCCGGCCCGTCTGTCAAATTTTAAAAGTCAATGCGGCCCCCAAGCCAAAAAGTTTGCCCACCCCTGTCCTAGCTGGTCTCAAGCAAAATAGTTTTAGCCTTCCTTCCTTCCTTCCTTCCTTCCTTCCTTCCTCCCTCCCTCCCTCCCTCCCTCCCTCCCTGGAAGCTGATTTCCTGGTGTGGCTGGACAGCAGGACTGTGTGGGCTTAATTCCTCTTTTGTTCCCCTCTCTGGGTTTGGGCCTCCCATTTGAAAAGAGCAAGAGAGATGCCACCGCAGTGGAAGACCCACCTGGCGCAGAGTCTGCCCGGGCTGCTCAGCCAGGGGCAGCAACTCCTGAGGGCTCTCTGGTGTCTTGAGCTGTGAGGAAGAAGCACAGAAAAGTTTCCCACCCACGGGGGAAAAGCCACGGAGCAGGAATAGGCCCACTTCAAGCTACCAGCATGGACGTGGCCACAGGCCAGCCAGAATCTCACACACAGCCTCCGAGGGAAAGGTTCCTTGGCTTTCATCAAGCAAACAGAAAGAAGTTCTCAGCCACATTTGCTGGGGAGGGACTGCGTGGACCTCTTATTTGCTGAAGTCTTCCTCCCCCCCCCCCCCCCCCGGTAGATTAGCAGTGGGGCACCTTGGCTGTCATCACCCGCAGGTAAGAGATCCCACCACAGCACAATCCCACCCCCCTTTGTGTGGCTGAGAGACGTTACCTTCTGGTACGCAACTGGGGGCTTCATTTCCTCAGATCCTGTCGAGTGGGAGAGAGCTTTGGGGAACCTGCGAAGGGCACAGGAAGAAAGAGGTGCGGCTCTGGGCCTCCCCTGGGTCACGGTGGACGTTAGGTAGAGGACTCGTCCTGTTGGAGGCTTAGCTAGGGCCAGCTTTTCAAACCCCAAGCCCTTTGGTCCCTTTGGAAGCAGTCTGAGGAGTGAGGGGGATAAGCTTCCGAATGTGGGTGCTGCCAAGGGGCACCAGCCAGGCCCGAGAAGACACCCGCTCTGCAAATCGAGGAAACTTAGACAGGAATTCGGGGGGGCTCCTTCTGAGGTGAGTGTGAGGGGAGGAAGTGGCCATCGGTGGGGCAGAGCAGAGAAGACAGGGCGGCCACTGGATCCTTAGACTAGTGCAACATCCAGGGCTGGATTGGGGCTCTGTCCCAACTGAGAAGTAAACGTTTCCCTTTATTCTGGGCAAAGATTGGACCCACCTGGCCCCAGAGGAGGAGGGGAGGGGAGGGGGGCACTCAGAGGAAGGCTCTAAGGCTAAGCAATGCCCACCAGCCCCAGCAAAGCGCAGTGAATCCCAAGGATGTACCTGAAGTTCAAAGAAAGACTGAATGCCAAGGAGCGGCTGGAAGGGGCCACTTGTGCCAAGCAGGTGGCAGCAGAAACTAGGAGACGGCCTGGGCCTCCAACTGGGAGCAAGGAACTCCTGCAGAAACCAAGCCGGGCCCAATCCCAGCCGGGAGTTTCTTTTGCAGGTACCAACCGCCCTTAAAAGAAAGGCCCTTTTCTAGACCAAAGGGAAGGGAATCTGCCGAAGGTGACCACGCGGGCAAAGGCCAAGCAGGCCCGGGCTCTATAAGCACAGGTGGAAGACTGGAAACCCCCCCTCCCCCACGAAGGGCAGGTCCCCCCAATGCTCAGCCCTCCCCAAAGCAGCAGGCCCCGGGGGAGGCGGGGAGCCGCCTTCTCAAGGGGACGCCGCTCCCGCCGCCCCAAACGGAGGCATCCGACGCGGGCAGAGCTCCCTCCCCCGCCGACGCCCCCCCCCGCCAGACCGACTTCCCCGAGCCAGCTCAGAGGGTGCCCGCCCTCGCCAAGCGACTGCCCTCGCGGGGCTGAGCGGGGCTTTCTCCGGCGAGCTGGCCGCCGCGACGGCAGCCCTCTCCGCCTCCAGCTCTTGCTCCAGGGCGTCTCCGTGCCCCAGCTCTGTCGGGGAGGGGAGGGAGAGGCGGAGGCAAAGCGCCCACCGGCACATCACGCCGCGCTCCTCCCCGCGGGACAAGGCGCCCTCCCGGCGCTGCCCACAGAGCGGCGGATTCGGGGGCGGCTGCCCGCGCAACGCGGGATGTGCCGGGCGCGACCCCCGCTTCCCCTCGTCCCGGGTCCGGACCCGCCGCCCCGCGCCCGCCCCGCGCCCGCCCCGCGCCTACCGCGGACAGCTCGGCTTCCCGGGCAGCCTGTCGCTCAGGATCGCTCGCTCGCTCGCTCGCCCCGCCTGCCGCCAGGCTCGTCCCAGCCCTCCGGCCAGCCAAGAGGACCTCCCGGCGCCCCTGCCCCGCTGGAAGGAGCTCCGAGGAATCGGCCGGCGGCGCCTGTCCTGAGACGGACGCGGAGCAAAGGCGGCGAAAGAGCCGGGAATTCCGTCTGGGCCGGCTCGACCGCAACCCCCCCCCCCCGGCCCCGATGGTAGATCCCTCCCGCTTGCTGAGAATCCTGGGAGTTGAAGTGCGGCGCCGCGCCCGACGCTGCCTGCTCGCCTCCCTGCCAGGCGGCGCCCTCTGACTCGCCCCGGCGAGGCTGCCGAGAGCCGGAGCGACTCGAGTGGGCAGCGCCGCGGTTCGGCTCTTTGGCCCCTTCCGCGGGGGGCAGCCGGGGAGCAGCACCGTTCCTGGCGTCGCCGGCTGTTGGCCCCGGTGACGACTGTCCCGTCCTTTGTCCCCGGGGCAGCCCCGGAACGCTCCGGGCCCCCGAAGCCCGCAAAGGCCGCTCGTAAGGCGGCTGCTTGCCCAGCGCTCCGGGCGTCAGGGGCTGCCCGGCCCCACCAGGTGGAATGTGGAGGGGGCTGCCCGCAACCTTCAGAAAGCCTCCCTGGAAACCCCCCCCCCCCCCCCGGGAAGATCCTCGGAGATCAGCCTCGGGGCTGCTGCCCTCCCCTCCCCGGGCTCCCTCCCGGCCCGAGCCCAGGCTCTCCTTGGGAGGCGGCTGATATTCCCTGCAAGGCCTGAAGGCCACAAGCGGGGTGGGGATGGGGGTCAGCAGGCAAGTCAAGGCAGAAGCGCGGAGGCTCCCTAGACAAACATGCCCTCAAAGCAGCCTGTAAGTGATAATGAGTTTATTAACGATGCAACAGGTCGGGTGCCCCCTGGATGCTCGGGGGAGTCCGTGTGGCCTGCTTGTAGTGCCCTCGGCTCCCAGAAAGACCAGTGGGCTACCTGTGGTTGGTCAGAGCCCCCCAACTGCGTCACCTCCCCCCCGCCGGGTCTGCCTTGGCCTGCCCTCAGGGCTCCGTACAGCTCAGTAACAGCAAGATGGCGTTTATTAAGTAAGTGGGGCTGGGCAGTGAGGAACAGTCTATATATTTAATGTCTAGAAAGGTATCTGTCCGGGCCTCGGTGGGCCATCTCTCTGCTGCGCCTGCCCTCTTCCTGGCGGAGGGTCCGGGGCTAGTGGTGGCTGGCAACGTGTTGCAGGTAGGGCTGCAGCTGGTGGCGGTTCCGGGGGGCGTGCAGCACGGCCTTGAGTGGGACTCTTTCCATGCCGTGTTCGGCCAGCCAGTCCTCACTGGGCAGCCAGGGGTTTGGCCCGGGCAGCGGCACGGCCGGTTCAAAGACCTCTGACTGCCCGTGCTGCCAAAGAGAAACAGAGCATTACTGGGGGAGGGGGCCCAGGGAGGGGCTGAAGTGCTCTGGGCAAGGCAGAGGGGTAGCGGGGGTGTGTGTGTGTGTGTGCTTGGGTTCCCGGAAGAGTGTTTGCATCATTTTCCTCCTCTTCACCCTCCTGGCAAGATTGACTGGGCCGCCCCTTACTGGGTTTCTACCCACCCCCACCCCCTCTGCAAACTGGGGAAGGCTGGGCTGGGCTGCTGGGAAGCGGACACTGTGCCAGGCTCCATGGAAGGTGAGAGCTACAAGGGCCATGGATGGGGGGGGGGCATGAACAGTCCAACAAAAGACCCCCCCCAGGGTACTCATGGTATGTTCCTTTTCTCCGAGGTGGGTGTCCTTGCTGAGCCCCCTGAATGTGCAGATTCCATGGCCGCCAGTGCCGCTGCTGCTCCCGTAACTCCCTGCAAGCCCACTGGGGGGGGGAGGGGGAGGCCGACTGGCCCCTGGACCTGCCAGGATGGGAAGGGGCTGTGCTTTCTTCCCCAGAGATGCTGCTCAGGAGGGGTGCGAGCCCTGCGAAAGCTCCGCTGTGGACTGGGGCTACTGAGGCAGCTTCCCGGGGGACCTAGGAGACAGGAGAGAGCCAACCCCCAGAGTGACAACAGTATTGGGGTGGGGGTGGGGTCTGACTCAGTCCTCCTCCGAGGCCCCATTCATGCCAGCTCAGCCATTGCCTACCCTCCCCTGTTATGCCACCCGTCAGCTCAGGGGGCTCTTTCTACGCTTTGCTGTTTCATGGAGTCCAGCCCCCTGCCTGACGGGTGGCCTCCTTTGACCGTCCTGGTTACCTGTGTGGTGGGTGAGAGGACCAGGCCTTTGGGGTAACTCGCCTCCTCCCGGGCACCAGATTCTGGCAAGGAAGCGGCGCTGGCATTGCTCTCCTTCTCCCAGCCGGGGGGGTCTTCCGGGGTGTACTGCCCCAGAAGAATCAGGTTCTCAAAGCTGGGGTCTGGCTTCATGTGGCGAGAAGCCTTGTGGTGCCTGGGGCTGCCGGGCCGGCTTCGGTAGTAGGCCGGGATGGGCTCCTGCTGGGCCTGCTCATGGTGTAGCCGGAGACTCTGGTGGGCCACTCTGTGCCGGTTGGCCACTGCCTCGGCCGGGTCCGGGAGGGGATCGTAGCCTCCCCCGCTGGGCCCTTCGCCCCACACCTTTAGGGGCACCTCCCGGTTGGCTTCGGCAATGCTGAGCTCGTCCATTTGGCTGGTGGTGCCCTGGAGACCGTGGGCGCTTTCCTCCCGGCTATAGAAGCGGTCCTCGTCCATGGCACTGTAATGTTGCAATTCCTCCTGGGAAGCCTTGCCGTGGCTGGGCAGTGACTCCCGGAGGCTCCTCAGGCAGAACTGGTAGTACTGGGTGAGGTCGTAGTTCTGCTTCAGGGGTTGGGTGGAAATATAGGGGTGTTTCAGGCCTGCACTGGGGGTGATGCGCTCGTGAGAGTCCCAGGTCAGCATGCGTTTGATGAGCTCCACCATGCTCCGGAGGTCAAAGTATTCAGCCAGGGCTTCCGTGTCCGGGTAGATCATCTTGTGGACATTCACCGTCTCCATCTGGTCCAGGGACTTGAGCACGTACTTTCTCCTCTCCACAGACTTCACTTTGGTGTCAGCCAGGTACTCCGCCGGGGTTTTCAGCTGCCAGGAGTTCACCACCTCGGGGTGCTGGCTCCTCTTAAAGAAGAGGTGGGCCTTTCGGGCTGCATTCAGGAGGGCGGGCCTGGGCATGCCTTGGGTCTCGCAGATGTACCGGATCTGGTCGTACTCATTGTTGCCGGGGTAGAGGGGCCAGCCGAGGTGCAGCTCTGCCATCACGCAGCCCAGGGACCACATGTCCAGCTTCTCGCAGAACGGCAGCCCCAGCAAGATTTCTGGGGCCCGGTAGAATCGGGACTGGATGTAAGGCTCTTTGACGTAGCGCACTTCGTTGAAGATGCTGGCCGATCCAAAATCAATCACCTTGACCCGGAAAGGGTACCTCACCTGGTCCACCAGCATGATGTTCTCCGGCTTTAGATCAGCATGGATGATTGACAGCTCTTTCAACTTGGCCAGGGCTCTCAGCACCTGCATGGTCACTGTGCGGATGTGCCGGACCGGCAACGAGGAGAAGTTGTGCTCTTTCTGGAAGTCGAAGAGGTTTTGCTCCAGGAGCTCAAAGACTAGGTAGAACTTGAGCTCGTCGTGGAAGAACTCGTGGAACTGGACAATGTGAGACTCCTCGGAGTCCACCTCGGACATGGTCTGCAGCAGCTTCAACTCGTTCTTGATGATCCGGCTGCGGTAGGAGTCATTCTTCAGGATTTTTATGGCAACCATCTCCCCAGTGCTCCGTTTCCAGCTCTTCACAACCTCCCCAAACGTGCCCTTCCCCAGAATCTCAAAGACGTCATAGAAATCGGACTCCGACTCGATTGTGACCATTGTCCTGGGCTTGCCCAAGCTCAGAAAGACGGGTGCAAAGTGGCTTCTTGCAAAGAGAGGTCCGGCCGCCGCGGAGCAAAGAGAATCCCAGCCTCCTCCGGAACAGGAGGTGATGCAACAGTTAGCCAGGTTCCAGAGTTGCCAGGCAAAGAAAGTTCTGTTATGGAGGCAGGGAGCCCACTCCCCCTGGGGTCTTCAACAGCCCCTTCTCCGGGAGGAGGGGCTGCTCCAGGGGAGGAAGGCCCCCAGGAACAGCTCTGCAGGGCCAGCCAAAGGGTTGCTTTTAGCCAAGGGCGAGTACTGCAGATGGATGGGTTTGAAGAGGCGTTTGCAACGTGGAATGGACATTCCGTGGTGAGTGGAGGGGTGTGGCTCTCTCAGAGGAACCCCTTTCACCCCTCACTCCGTCCTTACGTTGAGTGTGCCTTGAGTGAAGGACCAGCAAAGGCTCTTTCTTCCCTGGAGCGTGTGCAACTGCTCAATCCTAGATTCTTAACGTGGCCTCGTGTTCAGAGGATTTGGCCTAATCAGTTTGATAGTGTCATGCCCCTGGTGGAGATTGACTCTGAGCAGTCAGAGGAGGACCCAGGCCCATCCATCCTAGGACGCGCAGGGAGGAGACGATCAGGGTAAAAGGTGGTCTACTCGGGAGGAGAGGGCCATGATCCTCTTCATGGGTTGTAGGTGTGAGATCTGCATAAGAGTTTGGACCTGTGTGCTAACAGACGCTGGAGACAATTTAGTGTTTTATTCCTAAAGAAAGTTTATCTCGGTTGGCGTTCTTCCAATGGACAGTACCTGGTTATCTTCCTGAAGTTGGCAATTATCTATCCTGGTCTGTTGTGAAACTTTATTCAGTGCAGTTTGTTTTTGGTTTTTGCTTCATTATTGGCTCTTTGAATTTGAACTGTGTTTCTTTCCTTTGAAATGCTGTTTTGAAAATAGTTTACTCCTCCACTGTGAAAATTAAACAGTGAAGGCAAGTTGAAGGCATTAAAGGATTTTTAGTTACGTTTTGGGTTTTGTTGTATTTCTGATATACTCTGGGTCATCACAGATAATTAATAATTTAACTAGGCAGAACTCTATAGGAGTACCACACCAGTGGTGGGATTCAATCTTTTTCAGTACCGGTTCTGTGGGTGTGGCTTGGTGGGCCTGGCAGGGGAAGGAGGCTGTAAAATATCTCCAGTCAGAGGCGGGATTGGCCGAAGTACTCAAAATTTCCACTACCGGTTCTCCAGAACTGGTCAGAACTTGCTGAATCCCACCTCTGTGTAACCACAGAGCATCTTCTTCCAGTGTCCCCCAGGAGAGGATCCCCTCTGTAAAACAAGCTGGCTGTAAAGGAGCACCACAGCTGCCTGCAGGTTCTCCCTGAAGGCCAATAGCGGGGAAATGGTTGCGGAGAGAAAGGACTTTGTAAGGACCTGTTTGTTCTGAAGCCCCGTGGCAGCACCTCCAAAGGCAGCACCAAATACCCTGAAGGGGGCAGGAAGCCTCCTTGGGGTTAGGTTCTTGCCCCCCAGGTCAGTTCTAAAGGCACCTGCGGCCAGGTATTTGCCGGCTCCTCACCAGGACAAGAAGTCCCAGGAAAGAAGCTTTGTTTGGCCTGAGGCTAGCCAAGCCAGCTTGCTGACAGGTATCAGTCTTGGGACCCTATAAAGGTAGATTTATTACGCAGGTGCTTTTGTGGATCGCTGCACATGGCCCCAGATGCCCAAAAGCCCAAGAAAGAGCTGTTGCTCTTCTCTCGCTCCTCTGCAAAGCTGCCTCCCAAAACCATATTCTAACATTGGCTTCCTTCTCTGAGAATGCCCGGCAGAGATGCCCTTCTGGAGGGCCTGGTTTCTGCTGTTTAGGTGGTGATGGCATTTCGGGCATAGGAGGAGTTTGCTTTGGAGTTGGCTCCCTTCAGGTCCCCAGCAGCAGGTGACCGGCACAAGGGCAGAACAAGCCAGGATCTCTGGGTATGAAGTCCCACCTTCAGAGTGAAGCAAAAGGGAAGAGGAGGATTGCAGGGGCTGCTGAGTCCTTGGCTAGTTTGACTGTTGGCTGGATCTGTGCGGAGCTGAAGAAAAGCAATGCCCAAAAACGAAACATGATGCAAATGGAATGGAATTAGTTCACACATTACTTTTTATTCAAACCCAGGGTAGAAAACAAGCAGCAGTGGTAGAAGAGGATGAGATAGCGTGACTTCTTTTAAACATTTTAGAAAAGGTCAGTTTATAATCTGGGAAAGAAGCAGTTATCAGATCTTTTAGTTTTTTTTTAATGCCACTTCAGAAGGCCACATTGGTTAAACATTAGAATAAAAGATTTCTGTACATTCGGAACACATGGAATAATTGAGGGCAGTTTAGGGGGCCTCTCTCTCTTCTCAGATGGGGCAAAATTATTCATCTTTCCCAGTTTCCCAGGGCCCCCCTTGGGGCCACCGTGGGCTATTCCCAGGTTGTACCTTTGGACACGAAAACCACAGGGTGGGGGGGCGGGGGGGGGGTCCGAAGCGAAGGCAGTGGAAGCAGCCTCCCCTGGGTGGCCCTTTTGCCTGCGCAGGCTCAGCCGCCTCCTCCCGCAGGCAGGTCTCCCACCAGCCCTCCAGGTGAGGGGCAGCCCCTTGTCTGCAGCACCAGCGTGAGTGAGACCTGCCTTGCCCCTGAGCGCTGTCACCTGCCCTGACGGTCCCTTCTGTGAACCCCACGGAACAGTCCCAGCTGCTTTCCCTCTCAAAGCTTCTGCCACCCCCCAATTCTCAAGGACAGAGTTAGTGTTATCAAAGGAGCTGGGAGCTGGCTTCTATGGGAAGAGACGGTAAGCCCTTTGTCCCAAATGCAATCTGTGCCTGGGAGGCAGCGGGCAGCGCCCTACGAGCTTGCCCGGTCTGCAGCATCCCTTTCCGGACTGGCTTCCTCTTTTAGGCACAGCCGGGGCTCCCTTCCCTCCAGTCTGCCTTGCAGCAGAGGAGGGCCGCAGTGGAGGGGCAGTTAAAAAAGAAAGGCCAACAGAGAGGCGGCTCTCCGCCTGTGCCAGCCAGCCAGCCAGCCCTCCCCTGGCCAAGGCCTGTCTCTCCCCCCCCCCCCCCCCCCCCCCCCTTAGTGCTGAACTTTACATGGTGGGAGCCAGGCTGGGGAGCACCTTCATTCAGACCCTCCTTTTCTAGGGGCTTCCTGGGTGGGGGCTCCCTCCTCAGAACCACTCTCTACAGAGAAAGCGACAGCAGGCAGCCTGAAGTTGCCCCCCCCCTGGTCCTGCTGGTGCTTGGAGATCTCCAGCACCTCTTGGGATCTGGAGCTTAACGCCAGTTTTGGAAACCTGAACTTGCTGGACGGCTCCCCTTTAGTGGCTGTTTTCAAAGGTGCCACCCCCACTTGGAGCCCAGGTGCACTTACAGCCTCGGGGGCCAACTCCCCGTTGTGCTTCTTGAAGCCGGAGAGTGCGACCCTGGGGGGCTTGAATTTGGCAGCCTTGAGGGCCATGGCAATGGTGGCACCGCGGTGGGTTCCCTCCTTGACCTCGTCTGCCTTCACCAGCTTGAGGCTCAGCTCTGGGTCAGTCTCGGCCCCCTTAGAGGGAGACAGGAGTTCCACCTGGGGCAGTGGGATCTTCCCCAACTTACTTGCCCCATCCTGGAGGAGCCCCTCTCCCCTCTCTCCCCGGAGCTGAGCGGCTCCTTCAACCTTGGAGAAGCCTAGCTTGGGCACCGTCAGCCTGGAGGAAGCCCCCTCCGCTTCCCCATGGAATTCGGCAGCTCCCTTGGGCCTGGAGAGGGAGACCCCGAAGGGGGTCCTCAGCTTGAGTTTGGCAGCCTTGGCCTGGTCCTCCTCTTCTCTCACCAAGAGCCCAGCAGGCCCTTCCGCCTCCTTGGGCCTCCCCAGGGCCAGGAGGCCCCCCCTGGCTTCTGGCTCCTGTCCCCCAAGGCCTTCGGGAGCCTCCAGCCCCACCCTGGGCAGGAAGAGGCCAAACGTGGGGATCCTCACCCTGTGCCGCTTCCTTGCGTCCGAGTGGCCATCTGTCTGCTTCCAGCCCTCCCTGCCTGTGCCTTCCAGGTCCAAGGAGTCCCTCTGCCGGGTGTGGGGGCCCCCCACCTCATCTTCAGCTTGGGCTTTGAGACCTGGAGCAGAAATTTCCAAGCCAGGGGCCTTAAAAACCGATTTCTTCCCCTCTGGCTCTCCCCCACCCTCACCCCGCTGGCTTGGAGAAGTGGCACGCTCTGTGCCCCATTTGGTGGCTTCTGGCCCGCACACCGTGATACCGATTTTGGGCATCTTCAGCATGCCCTCCAGCCCCCCCTCCAAGTCTGTCGCCCCTGCCGCCTCGGCCTCCTCTCCCCTCTCCTGATCCCCAGAGAAGCTGACATCGGGCAAAGCAATCTGGGGCACCCTGAAGGCCTCGGCGGGGGCGCAGAGGGGCTGGGTATCCAGGCTCACCTCGGCCTCTGGCTTGGAGACCCTGGGGGACGGGAGCTTCAGCCTGACTCTGCTTTCCTCTCTTCCCATCCCAGCTTCTGTTTCCAGCTTGCCCAGGCCAAGAGGCAGAGTGGGCACCCTTAGCCGGCCCTCTTTTGCCCCCATTTCAGAGCCCAAGACCTCTGTGCTTCCGCTGAATTTGGGAGGCTTCAACTCCAGTTGGAGAACCCGGGTCAAATCCTCCTGGCCCTGCCCATCTCCTGGTGAGCCAGAGGCCCCAAATTTGGGCCACTTCACGGAAGGTGTGCCTGCTGTGACCTTGGGCACCACCCCTCCCCCATCCAAACCCACATCAAGCTCCAGCTCAGGAGCCTTCACTTTTAGGGTGCTGAGTTTCGGCAGCCCCATTGAAGGTATCTTGAACTTTGCTTCTGGCCCTTCCAGGTCAAGATCCACCTTGGCCGGAGGCAGCTCCACCTCTGGCAGCCAGGCCTTGGGCAAGGAAATGTCCACTTTGGGCAGCCGTACCTTGGTGCCCAGGGCAGAGGCTTCAGCTGCCCCTCCTAGGCCTTTCTCTCCTTCCTTCCCCAGCAGTTGCACAGCCGCCTCTGCCTCTTCCTCCTGGCCCTTCCCAAGTTTTGCCAGTTCCACCTTGGGCAGCTTGACCTTGGGCCCTGTGCCAGGGGCTGCCTGGAGAACGCCCTCTTCTTTCCCAGCCATGGGCAAGGCGATGCCCAGCTCTAGTGTAGGGGCAGACACCTGGATTGAAGGTGCTTGGGGCCCCTGGAGCCCCCCCTCCTGCTGCTGGAACTCGGCCACGGCTGTGTCTCCTGCCGGTCTCTCCGCAGCCGCCTCCTCTTCAGCTTTGGAACCAGGCCCAGCAATCTCCACTGATGGCACCTGAACCCTGAACCCAGGACTCTCCGGCTCTGGGATCAGCCCTGTCTCGGCTCTGGGGGCAAGCCTCGGCAACTCCACCTGCGGGAGGACCTTCTCATCCTGTTCTGGAGCTGGAAGGTGGACCTTCAGAGAGGAAAGCTTCAGCTGGGGCATCTTCCCAAATGGGCCTTTGGGCTTCTCCTTTGGACTCCCAGGGGCCGCCTTGCCTTTGGTCTCCACGTCTCTTCTCATGAGGCCAAACGAAGCTATCCGGAACCTGGAGGCTTTGGCCTCCTTCTCCAGCCTCCTGGGGTCCGGCTGCCCTGTCAAGCCCTCCTTGCCGTCTTGCCACTTGACCTCCCCGCTCTCTAGGGCACCCCACGCTTCCTCCCGGCCTTTGCCCCCAAAGCTCGGGAGAGAGAGTTTTAGCCCTTTGAACTCGACACCGAGGGGTTCAGGAGAGGCTCCCCCCCTGTTTCCGTCAGACCCTCCTTCCGTGCCTTGCGGGCGGCCAATGTCCACCTCCACCGTGGGCAGCTTCATTCTGCTCTCTGTAGTTTTGCCAAGCCTTTCCTTGGGCGCTTCCCCTTCAACCTCAAGGGCTAATTTGGCACCTTCTGCCTCTGCTTCCCATTTTGATTTGGGGAAGTAGATCCCAAACTTGGGCAATTTCAGCTTTGAACCCAGGTCGGCAGCTTCTCTGCCCTCCACTCCAGACACCGAAACTTCTGGGCTCATTTTGCTCCAGACTTTGGGGCCCAAAATGCTGAATTTGGACAGGGCGAATCGAGATGTTTTCCCCTTGGCTTGATTCTCTGTTGTCATCTCTGGGAGACCGATTGGTGGGATCTCTACAGTGGGCAGCTTCGTCTTGGCTCCTTCCAGGTCCGTCTTTGGCCCTTCGGCGTCTGCTGGCTGCTTCTCAAAGGCCAGGTCCACCTTCGGGAATTTGGCCACCATCCCAGCGAGAGCCGGCCCTTCGATGCTCCTCATCCCTGGCTCAAGCCCAGGCTGGCTGACCGCCCCCTTCGGGAGACTGATTTCTACCTGGAAGTCTTTGCTCGGGGCCCATCGGGTGACCTCCTGGGCTTTAGGTCCCTGCTCAGAAAGGTCCCTTTCATGCTTCATCAAATCCAGCTCCACCCCAACTTTTGGCAGCTGAATGTCCAGCACAGGCACAGTTGCAGGTGGAAAGCTCAGTGGGGCTGGAGAAGTGGTCACCTCAACCTCTGGCTTCTCAACAGAGATGCCCAGTTCGGGCCTTGGCACCTTCGGAAGTTGCACGCCTGGCACCTTCATTGCCAGCAAGAAAACATCCCCCCCCTTGGGGAGGCTGACTTTCATTCCCGGGTCTCCTTCTGGTTTCGGCATTTTGACTTGGACTGGAGGTGGGGAGGGGGCTGGCTTGACAGGGAAGTCAAATTTTGGGAGGGATATTTGAGGCACCTGAAACTTAATTCCAGCCCCTTCGGCAGCCTCTTTGGGTTTTGCCCTTCCAGAAGAGGCGGCTGGTTCTCCCATGGCCTTGCAAAGGTGGATATCCTGGACTTTGGGGGCAGAGATGTCAAGAGAGGGCACCCTCACCTCAGGTAGCTTCACCTGAGAAGCCCCTGCCGCTCCCGCTGCCTCTTGGCTCTCCAAAGGGTGCTCCCTCAGGGAAATCTCCAGGCCAGGCAGCTGAATGGGGGAGCCCTTCGCCTTGTCCGCCTTGGGGCTCCCCGGTTTCCCCAGGCTGGCTTCCGCCTGGGGCAGTTTGCCTGCCCCTCCCAGCTGGGGTAGGCTGACCAAGGAGATCCCCCCTGAGACTTCAGGGCTTTCCATGCCTGGCTTCCCCTTCTTGGGAAAGGGGAGCTCCAGAGAAGGCATTGCCCCTGCTGGTCTCGGCTGGTCCTCCAAAACCTTTTCCCTACTTTTCCCCCCCAAGGCCATTTCCAGGGCAGGCGCCTTCATCAAAGGCAGCTTCAGTTCCGCTTCCTCGGCAGAGACCCCAAAGTTGGGGACCTTGACTCTGAACCCCTCCCTTTTAGGGGCAGCCTCTGGGGCCGCGGCACACTCCAACCTGGGCAGGGCCAAGTCTACGTCCACCTTGGGCGCTGCCACTTCGGCTGCAGGGAGCTTCAGCCCGGCCTGGAGAAGACCTGGGGGGGTCTTCAGCGCACTGGCACTTCCTTTGGGCAGGGCAGCCTCCACTTTGGGCCACCCGAGCCGAGATGCTGAGCCCAGGAGGCTCTGGCCTTTGGGCCCGGCCTCGAGAGACTCCTCCTCCTCCTCCTCAGCCCCCACCTTAGGCAGAGGGAGAGCCAACGCTACTTGCGGGGCTTGGAATCCCCTTTCCCTTTCCTCCCCAGCTTCTTCCTTGGGCTTCTTTGCTCTGGAAAAAGGCAGGGTGAATCGGAACGTCTTCTCCTCCCCTCCTCCTCCCCCCCTGCCTGCCTCCTTCAGGGCCAGACCAATATGGGGCAGGCCCATGGCAAGGCGGGCCTCGGCTGCAACGGCGTCCTTGACCTTCAGGCGGGGGAACTTCAGTCGGTGTCGCTTTGTCTCCAAGGAGGACAACTTCCGCGAAACGCCTGGGCTCGCTTCAGCCACGGCCACCTCTCCAGCGCTCCTGGCCTTGCGCAGCTTGGAGAAGGTGGGGAAGGAGAACTCCACGTCAACTGGGGCCACCTCAGGCTTCCCGGCTGCCGGGCTCTGTGCCACTATCCTCTTCTTCTTCTTCTTCTTTTTCCTTTTCAGGGAGGAGAGACCCTGGATGTTCTGGGGAGAGAAGAAGCAAGGGGGTCGGTGAGCCTCCCTGGCCAAGAGACCTCGGGCTGCTTCTCCTACGCAGATCTCCGCGGTCCCTGGCAGCGCTCCTGCATCTCAGGGTCTGGTAGAAAAACAGCCCCATTCCCACAGCTCTGCTGCCTTTACAACTAACGGGGAAGGGCAGGGGCTTCCGGGCTCTCTCTTCTCAACATCAGCCCCTCTCTAGGCCCTCTCGATCTTCCCTATGATGCAGGGGGACTCCAGGGACAAAACGGGGGAGGGACGACGGCCCAACCGATCTTTCTGAACAGATCGTAGGAAGCAGGAAGGTTAGGAAGCAAGCAGAAAATTGCAGGCTGTTGGGAAGGGAAATGAACAAACATCCTGCCTCAAGTGAGCAGATCGGTCTCATCGCCCTCCAGAAACCGACCGGGGCACCTGAAGAGGAGCCTGCGAGGGCCAATTCTGATTTAGACCCACTCCATAAGGGGGCAGAAGAAGCCCCTCCTCCTGGCTCCAGTGGTGTACGGTACAAGTGGGAGAAAAAAGCAGCAGGATTGATTCTGGATTCCATTAAAAATACAGCTTGCATTTTAGATGCGGCCACTGCTGGAATTGCCCTTTAAGGGATTTCTTAGTTCTGCAGTAAACTAACTGACCAGAAATCTCCCTTCTCGGATGACTGGGAGATTCCCAGTTCTTGTATCAGCCAAGAGAAGCCCAACCACTTCCCCGTTTCTCCTCTGAACTTGTGCTCAGACAGCAGCAGCCTCTGAGGACAATGGGCGGCTCTCCCCCTCAGCCTCGGTTTGGTGCTGCTGCCTGCCCTCCCTGGGCGGCAGAGCCTGGGTTCCCAGAGGGCAGAGACCCAGGGCTGCCAGAGTCACCTACCAGCTTGGCAAGCTTGGCTTTGGGGCCTCTCACTTCAAAGACGGTGGCTCCGGGCTGGCGAGAGACATCTGCGCTGGGAACCACCCGCTTCAGGCAGAAGGAGATTTTGTATGGTTCGGCACACTTGAGGATCTGCAGGGCGTCTTCATACTTGATGTTGTCAAAGTAAACTCTGGCACTCAGGAGCTGATCCCCTGCAAGTGGCAAGACGGGGGAGGGAGGATGTTAAGGGCATCGCGGCAGGCTGGTTCCCAAGACCTCTGGCCACCAGGCAGCCTTGGTCAAGGGCACAAATGCTCCCTTTGAAATTCTCCCACAAATGCAGCCTTTGAAGCCACAAGAGCAGAAAGCTCTGGGCCCTCCAAAGCAGCCAGACGAGGCAGTGCCCTATCTTGTCCTTCCAGGCCTGTTGCCAGTCTCTACCCACCTGAATTGGGCCCTTCTGGATCAATCCTAATATAAAATATAAAACCAAATAACGGGAAAAATAGGGAAGGTAAAGGGGAAGAGAAGAGTGTAGGAGTTTTGATGTTATGTATGTTGATGGCAGCAAAATCACTTTATGCACAAAAATGGAAGGAGCTTCAATCCCCTCAATGGAGGAAGGGCTGCAAAAGCTGTTGGAGTTAGCAGAGACGGTGAAACTGACGGCTTTGATAAGAGACAAAAACACTTTTGCTTCTACTTGGAAACCGCTTCTGGACTTTGTGCTTGAGGTGGGGGGGAAAATGAAACTTTGATTTTGGGCTACGTTGAGTATCTGTTGTGATAGAAATGGCTAGTGTATACCTCAACAAAAGTCAAAAAGTGGAGGTTTGGTATTACTTCTTACTCTACCGCACCAAAGGGAGTTGGAAGCCAACGCCTTTCCTTTCCTTTTCCCTTCTTTACACTTTTCCTATTATTTGCTTTTGTATTTTTGTATTTTATATTATCGACCCATAAAAGGGATTGATCTGAGTTGGGCCCTTCTGGATTGCTCACCTTCCTGGAGGCTCAGCACTCGCGCAGCCGGAGAGTCCTTGAGCACGTCCTTCACAAAAAGGCCGGCCTTGCCTCCACCGGCCACGCTCAGCCCCCTGGCCCCAGCTCCGGCCTCCGTCTCCACGACCATCTCCAGCAGCTCAGAGGCCGCGATGGTCTTCTGCAGAGAAAGAAGAATCCGTCCATCCACCCATTCTTTGCCTCTGGCTTCCTGGCACGGTCGGGGGGGGGGGGCGTTCTCTACTAAATTCGCCCCGTGATAAAGACTGGCTGTTCTGGGGACTCTCCTCACAAGGCTGCCTGTCCAACCAGGCAAGGCAAGGAGTGGCAGGGGTGGAGGGCAGGAGGGTCCATTAGGGACGTGTGTGCAGGTGGCGCGCCCGCCTGATAGCAGTTGCCAAGCTGTATTTGCCCCAGGAAGCGGAGCCTTCTCCTGCCAAAGCTGGCTCCCCTCTTCTGCCAGGTACACCTGCCCAACCCAGGGAGAGCAGGTCAAACTTGCCAAAGCCCCCTGCAGGAGCCCTCTCTGACCTCGGCTTCCTTTGCTCGGCTGAGCTGGGGCTCTCTGGGGTTCGTGCCTAGCTTTCAAGGCAAGGCGATCCTAGAGCCCCCCCCCCCCCCCTTCAGCGATCCCTTCCTGGAGCCATTGAAGCTCTGCTCACCTCCATTGCAATGAATTGTGCTGTCATCTTGGGGGGGCAGGTAGCAGAAGGTTGTGCCCCTCCACTTCAGGACCTCCTCCCTGGTTGGTGATTCCTCCGGAGGGCCCCTTCAGCCCCACAGGAAGCTTCTCTTGGCAGGCCTGGAAGAGGATGCAGAGTCTGTGGGCTGCAGAGGTGGGTGCATCGGCCATGGTCCCTGTGAGGGTGCTGAGACACCCTGAGGATCTCCTCTGCCCTCCACTAGAACAATGATGCTTGAGCTTCAAGAATCGCCCCAAGG